ACATTTTCAGAAGAGGGAATATATTTCACTAGGCTCGAGTTATTTAAAACACACACACACACACACACACACACACACACACACACACACACACATACACACAAAATCCAAAAACCCTTATAACACTCCCCCTTTGGGAATTTTTCCCAGGCCACCCAAAGGTGTGCCTATAAGTGTTTGTTTGTGTGTTTCCTGTGAAACTCTTTCACAGGGAGTAATCTCCTCCCTTATTAAGACTCCAGGGAGTCTATTTCTAGGATGGAGATGGGTCTTCTGGGTGGAGATCAAGAGAGATAGCATGTGCAGCAAAATGAACAGATCCAGAGAACGTTGTGTGAAGAGAAATAAGTCAGACAAGAAAGATACATACTGCACATTCTCTCTCACATTTAGAAGTTAAAAAAAAAAAAAGTTGATCTGAATGTAGACTAGTAATTATTAGAGGTTGGGAAGGGCTGGGGGAAGGGAGAACAGAGAGAAATTGGATCATGGGAACCAAAACACAGTTAGATAGAAGTAATAAGTTCTAGTGTTCTACAGCACAATAACCCATTATATAGTTTATGAATAGCTAGAAGAGAGAGGCTTGAAGTTATGATAAGGAGATGGAAGTGTTAATCACCCAGAGTTAATCAGTGCACATCATCGACATGTATTGAAATATTGCACTGTACTCGTTTGTTATAGTTGGATTTTAGGTGTCCCCCAAAATCTCACGTGTGAGACAACGCAAGAATGTTCAGAGGGGAAATGATTGGGTTATGAAAGCTTTATCCCAATCAGTGAATTAATTCCTTGATGGTAACTGAAGGCAGGGAGAGTGTGGCTGGAGAAGGTGGGTCATTGGGGGCATGCCTTTGGGGCACATATTTTGAATTTGGCAAGTGGAGTCTTTCTCTCTCTGCTTCCTAATCATCAAGTGAGCTGCTTCTCTCCTCCATACTCTTCCATCATGATGTTCTACCTCACTTCAAGCCTTGAAGAATGGAGTCTGCTGTCTATCGACTTCGACCTCTGAAATCATGAGCCCCTAAATAAACTTTTCCTCTTCTACCGTTGTGCTGGTTGGGTCTTTTATTCAAAGGAGTGAAAAACCTGACTAAAACACCATAAATATGTACAATTTTAAGTGTTAATAAAACTTTATAAAAATGTTTAAGGATATGGAAATGCTACCTATACTGCTAATAATTAATTTTTTAAAACAGCAAATCAGCTAGAGACTGACAGAGTCAACAGAAGGGACGCCTCTTCCTATATTCTTACCCTTCAGGGCTCCTCATAAAACCCTTTTCTCCAAGAAGCCTCCCTGACTGAATATTTATCTCTTTGGCTCTTGTGTTGGACACAACACAATGGAAGAGTTGCCATCAAGAGGAAGAGGTATGAAATATTTAATATAACAACCTCTCAGTTACTCAGGAGATTTATCCACAGTCGATACCAGATACTTCAAAGGCAAAGTAGGTATCAGAGTAGGTGCTAGAGGGACCCAATGTAATCTCAGTAACTGTTTTCAGGGCTGTAATGGTGCCATTTTTCAAGTAATATAGGCACCTGGAGGAGGCAACAATGACCTCCCCTGTGGGTGTTCAGGAAAACTTCACAGAGGAAGTGACACGTGAAGTGTGATTCTGAAAGAAGAAAAGGAATTTTCCAAGAGGAGAAAAAAGGTGATGAAGGCAGCGTTCCAGACAGGCTGAAACAGAAGTGTCAACAGCTCCCGATGTCTTTGAAGAAAAGCAAGACCTTCAGTTTGACTGGACAGGAATGAAGTTGTGTCGAGGGACCAATCTGAGTTTGGTGTGAGATTAAAGGGCTTGTGTATAGGCTCCGAGGTTCTAACTTTATCTCATCTGTATTATAGAATTTTTTAAAATTATTTGAATATATTACTGCCTTTTCTTCTATAATACTATAAAAGCAAGTGGGAAATGGAAGTTGGAATGGACTGATTACAGAAACCAGAGGCAAGGAACTGTGCTCAACACAGTGTACAAAGTCAGAGACCTTAAGCATACCTACCAATGACAGGTATAACCAAAGGCTTAGGTATAGGGTCGTGATTCAACATCTGAGCAGCTATCTTAAATATTAACCACCATCTTATGAGATAAGTTTCACTTTCCTGAACTTCCTTTTACCTGAACTTCCCCCACCCCTACCCCATGGTACCGTAACCCTAAGCCAATCCCAGAAAGACAGGACCCCCTTGACTGTGGGAAGCCCCATAGTGCTATCCACCTAAACCAGTCCCATGCTAATCCTGCTCTCCTAGCCCTAATGCAAGCACCCCAGAACCTATCCCATAGGGCCACAACTCCAACTCCAAACCCCTACCCCACAAAAGCTGAACATCCATACATCTCAGAGCCTCTCTCCTCTCTATAGAGATGCCCTTTATTTGTCATCTTTGACAAATAAACTTTCCTGTAGTTCTCTGCCTGGTCTCTGTCTTTCATTTCTCACTTGCCTGTCTCCTGTTTTCTCACTTTCCTTTGATTAGGGGACAGAGGAACATATAATGTGAAGAAAGTAAATTACACAAAAGAAAATGCTTTGACTCCTCCTCCTCCTCCTCCTCCTCCTCCTCCTCCTCCTCCTCCTCCTCCTCTTTCTTCTCCAGGAGAAGAAAGACCCTTGAAACAACAATATTTATAGAATGCCTGAACTGTGTTGTTATTGCACAACATTGAATACTCCTTAGTTCACGATAAAGGATAAATAAGATGCCCATCGTGGCTCTTATTTTATAAATAACAAAGTAAATATTGTATTTGCTGAACCTATCACCAAACATTAAAACTAGATCATTGGCATTATCCCTACTGTGTGCTCTTGTTTCC